GCTGTGTAAGGGGGCGCCTGCGAGACACACTGACTAGTGGGGGGTCCTTATCTGCAGCAGGGTTGCGCTCCATAGTGGAGTATCCCTCTCCTCAGCAAGGGGCGCTGAGCATTGCAACGGCCATGCATAACAGGGATCTGCACTTCATGGTGGGGACGTGAAGCCTCTGCTGTATCTAAAGCACAGTGGGATTCACGTGCGATAAAAAGCACTGTACTGAACGAATTATTCCTTGCTCATGCGTCATTAGGCACGCGTGTGTGTTCCTGCTGCTGCGTGCAGATGCGCGAGCGCGTGATCCTGCCGTGTGCGTGCGCGTTCACACGCGTGCTTCGTGGGTCGGAGGACTCACCGAGGGCTGGCTCTGCTGCAGCTCCATGCCAGGTTGCGACCGCTGTGCAAGGCCCCTGTCCGTGCTCTCCCTCAGCTTCTGAATGCACTGCCGGAGACAGGACACAGGGCGATCAGGCCACCTGAGCCGGGCTGGAGCTGTCGGCCAGCACAGGGGCGGAAACGCAGGGTATCACCTCTCCCAGGGCAGCTGAGCTCTCCTTTCATCACCAATGAAAGGAGGGCACTGGGTCACGAGCAAAGACTTAGCTCACAGCTCAGACACAAGAAGCATCTATCCTGAAATTTGGAATCGCTGTGCTTCTCCAACATGCCCACCAATCAGAGCAAGTCATCTCATGACATCACCGCAAGCTCCACAGTTCCCGACAGGGTGCTGATCGGAGGAGCACCGCTCCTCTCGGTGACATCACTGTGAGCTGAGCAGTACCCAGCAAAGTCTCGGCAGGGGCTGCTGGCCGGAGAGCCATGAGGACCCCTGCTAACTAATCCTCATCCACATGCCACCTACCTTGTTTACCCAGTAGAGCACCGCGTTCTCCCATTGGCTGTCGGCGCCAAACTGCTCCAGCCCAGCGGGCATCTTCACCCTGCCCATCGTCTCCATGGCGCAGACGGACATCAGCGAATCAATCACCGCCAAGTGAGCGCTCTGCACCAATCAGAAGAGGAGAGGGGAGGAGTTAAAGCCAAGGAGGCAGGAGGCCCCAAACAAGATAAGACCCGCTCATAACTCAAGTTCAGTTCATATCTACATAGATTATTCCCTTCATGATGAGGTTGTGGTTGTTGTGAAAGGACTACTCTCCAACAGAATATATGCTATTTATACATGAAATCAGGCAGGAGCAGAGGTGTGGGTTTGGGACTGGAAACTTGAAGGGACTAGAACTGGGTTCGAATCCCAGGTTGATTCAGACTGCTTCAGTTCTATAACTGGGCACAAGTACCAGATTCCCTGAATAAAAGGACCAGCCAAATAAATTATCACAAAAATACAAGAAACAATGTGTAATAGTACATTCTTATAAAGCAAGCAGATCCATTTGTAAATTCTTAAAGTGCAATGCTTTGTGAAACTCATTTCTCAAGAGTCCCTCTTGAAGCTGAACACCACCGCCAAAAAACAAAACTAGAGGGTATTTCTGCACCAACGCAAGAGGGAGCTCAGTATATAGTAGTACACAGCTGTTCACCGCACAAGCAGTCTGTGAGACGTCTACACGTTACTAGACAAAGGAAAGAAAATTCCCAGAATTGCCACTAGGTGTCGCCACAGCCCCACTGGGGCTGCCCTGAGTCAGCACTCTCGCCGCAAGTGACGTCATCATACGACAAACTCGCTCTCTGGGTCCTAGCGAGCCCCGCCCCTAGGAGCTAAGTTCTCCCTGCTCATGTCTGGAAACTCAATTTCCAGAGACACTCGCCTGCTCGAATATTTCCGAAACTCCATCTGTCCTGGGAAAAACAAAGGTTGTTCAGACAGAAGACTGCAGGCAGCTTTCCCTGCTCTGAAAGGCCCGTGTGTGAGTGAAGACACCGCCACACTAGGAGAGGCACTGGAGAGGGACTCGCTGCACAGGTTGTACAGCCGGGCATGAAACGGGAAAAACAACAGCTACATAGGGGACCTGCAGGCTGGAGAAGGACAGCTGACGGCCTGCAGATTTGCATGGAAAACTGTCTCCTCTCTTGCCCCCAGGTCAAACAGCTTCGTCTCTGCGGATCTTCAACACAGCCCCAACAAAATAAACCAAGCACCCCCCCTCCACTGAAGCACCAAACGCTGGGGAACATCCCCACTTATCTCACAACCCCAACTCATCCCTTCCTCCATGTCAGAGAGCATCAGAGCGTCTGCTTCAGGCCCTGCACGGGCCTCCCACAAGCCCCAGCTACCCGACATCCTACCAGGCAGTGGCATGTTTAAAAAAAACGAACGTTTCTGCTTCTCAGGGCTGTGTGGAACAAGCCCTCCTTCAGGAAGTATTAAACCTCTCTAGCACCCTAACTAGATTAGATGCACTGAGCCCTTTAATGCAATTAAGATGCTCTGTTGTTTAAACACTTCCCAGCCTGATCTCCTCTGTTGCAGGGAGCGGCTCACCAGGTAAAAAAACATACACTGTGCAAACAGAATCGGACTGAGCTGCTCGGAGCTGAACCCTTCAGGCGAGTCGCTTGGTGCTGAATCCCTGAGCCCCCCAGGCACTGCCTGTGGTTCACTGTTCTGCAGAGTTATAATAATAACAATAATAATAACAAAATGTGTTGTTAGCACAAATCAGGAACGAGCAACTTCCCAGGCACTGTAGACATCAGGGCTGCCTGGCTCCCATGTCTCCTGCGATCCTACTAATTCTTCGGATAAGAAAGCAGACGACCTGTTGCTTTAGGCCTTGACCAGCTGCCAGGGTCTGCAGGCCTGCAGCCACCCAGCTCACAGGCCGACACGCAGGCTGTCTGGCCAAGCAGAGCCCCAGCAGCAGGCGACCCACACCGGCGCACCTGCAGAGGGCCGAGTGCAGCTGCACACACAGCACTGCTGACCCAGGGAACAACGCCGAGCTCAGCGGGATCGAAACACACTCACGGACAGGCAGCCTGAAACCTGAGAACAGCAGCATTCTGACAGGCTGGACCAAACAGCCGACACAAACACGTCCCCCAGGATACACGCACACTGCCCTGCTCCCCCTCCGGGACACACATCCTCCACCGCCCCAAGAGACAGGCTCCTGTCATCATCGTTAACCCCACCATCCCCAGCTCTGCCCATGGCAACAACAGCCCATAACAGCCCTGGCAACAGTCAGCCAGCACTACAATGCAGGTCTGCTCTAAAACAAAGGCAAAGAAGAACACCTCAAAAGGGCAGTGTAGGGGGAGGGCGGGAGGGGCGGGTGTGAAATGGCCGGGACAGCCCGCCACACGCTGGGTCAATCAGTCAGGATAAGAGGGAGGATGAATGAGTGAGTGCGAATGAGTGAGTGAGGCATGCTTACACGAGAGCCCCACGAGCAGCGCTGCATTCTGGACCGGCCGGAATTAACAAAGATCTGCGGACAGTGATGGCCGTGGCAGTGATCTGCGGGAGGGAGGGGTGGAGGCGGATGATGTCCTGGACCCTAGCGGCACCCGCCCACCAGACTCCACCAAGCCAAATCGCAGGAGCTGCTAACGGGGGGCAGCTCCCCAGAAGACGAAAGAAAGGACGGCAGGAGCGCGGCTGCACCCCCTGATCCGAGAGCCGCGTCTCAGTGGGGACCCCACCTGTCTGTGAAGGACTTTGGGATCCTTCAGGTTGAAAGGCGCTATATTAATGCAAGAAATTAATAATATATAATTGTGAGTATTCTGCAGAGGGACCATAGCACCAGGTTGGGAAAGTCTCACGATCCTTACAGCCACATGTGGTGGACAGCCATTTCATTTCACCTTGTAAAAAAGGGTTTTTGTTTCATACATTGATCAACTCTACTGGGACAGCAAATCCCTGGGTGCTAAGATGCACAAACGTTACTTTGCAAATAAAAATTCCTCAATATCCAGGCATTCCTGAGGAAGCCCACATCTGCAGCTTTCATAAAATATCCCACCATTCCTCCTCCCGCCACAAATCCGGAAGCGATTACCAGGGAGGGATGCGCTTTCTTCCTCCAGCTCTGTGGTTTCAGGCTGTAGGAGCGCAGGCAGAGACAGCGGCCCCCCATCTAAGCGAACACCGAGAGCAGAGGACCAGGCTGAAACACACGAACCACAGCGGAGCAGCAGCCCAGCACAGGGAGGGAGAGAGCTTGAAATCCTCTCTGGTCCGGCTGCCAGATGGCAGGAGCGCCTCACAATAAGCAGCGAGCGAGGAAAATAAATAAATCCGGCGCAAATTGGAAGAGGCTCTGAGCCGCCGCAGCGCACTGAGAATGGGATACTTCTCCATTAAGACAACAAGAAAAGTCACAGGACTTTCCGATCGGAGCCAGGCCACTCCCGCCAGCTCCAGGAACAGATCCAGCCTGCCTCTCTGGGAGCAAACACTCTTCTGTGGCGTGTGAGCGACGGAGTGAGAGAGGGAGACACACAGAGAGATGGAGACACAGAGGGGGACACGCAGAGAGGGGCTCTGCTCCTACGATCCTGCAATTTTCCAATCGGAGGCTGAGGAACAACCCCCTCTCACGTTTCCTATTCCGAGCCCATCTGGGAGAGCCGGAAGGATTCCTCTCCTGGTGCTGGTCCACGCGGGAGTCTCCTCCGTCTGAACGCAGTCCGAGAGGCGCGTGATGATCTCGCACACCGCCGCCGTCGCCACCAGAATCTCGCCCCGGGTCTGCCCGCCGGAACCAGGCAGACAGGCGCCGATCCACAGATGCGGCTCTTCCTTCTTGAGCACACCGCAGATTCCGGCCGGAGCAGCAGGAGACTGGAAATCCTCCGGCTTTGGGTCCATCCTGACCTCTGGGTCATCTCATTTAAGTAACGATAGGCGCAATGAGGCCAATCACAGATCACAGGGCACAGGGGCCGCCGTCACCAGCCTGGAGGCTGCAGCGTCTTTAGGAGCCCGGATCAACTTAGAAAGCCGCGATGCAGCACATTATCGGTTCAATTCAAGGGCAAGTGGAGGCAGTTGGAACCCAATCTGGACTGTGGCCCAGGAGATTCTGGGGTCCTGGGGGTCAGACAGCTCTGAACTAATCTGGGGGTCAATTACAGGGGCAGACGAGCTCGTGTTTCTGGTCCCCATTGTTGAGCTGTATTGCTACTAGCAAGCTTCAGCAGCAGGGTGGGGCAGTTAAACACTTAAGAGAAACAATGAGGAGGCCAACCCATCAATTAAGCAAGGAAGCTTACAAATTAGCTTGCTAATTTTAATGGCCTTGCAATCGCCCAGAGTAGGAGAATCCACCTCACCTGCACTGAGTGCAGCTCGTGATTAAACGTTTTCCATTCGTACCCTAACGTGCAGGGAACCGGACCGCCAATCAGGAGTGGTGGTCACCCAGACTGCTGGCTCCACCTGTCGCAGCTCTTACAGCCTATGGCCTGCGGCGGCACAAGGATATTGTTTGCCACTCAAGGTTGGAAGGGTTGGATCAGCGATACTGGCAGAGAAGCAGACTTCTCCCCCTCGCAGGCCTCAGTAAACCGCACCAACGCGAACAAACCGGCCCCTCTCCCGTCTGGGGGCTGGGTTTTAACCCAGCAGATTAACGCACCCGGCTACACACTCTAATCTGCTTGTGAGAAGGGGGCGTGTGCAGTCAGGTTTTGACGGTATTAAAGCCTTAATCTTCCCAATCTGGGAGAGACGGGCGATAACACCGCAGCACTGGACGTGCAGCCATGTCGAAAATCGCCCTGCAGCAGGCTCAGACGAGACGTGAGATCGCAGAGGGTGGCAGGCTGGCCAGCAGGGCTGACCTGTTTGTTAATTGGTAATTAAGTCCCAATGCTGAGAAACCGGTTGTCTCCCAGAAGGCCCAGGAGCCGGTACTGAGCGCCTCTCCCTCTCCCCGGGACGGACGCCGTCGCGGTGCCGGCAGGAGTTTAACACGCCGCGCCGGAGCTCAGCGCCCACCTGAGCCCCAGGCCACCCCGCCCGCGATGAGTCACGCGCACTCCCGCGGGAGCTCGGGGCTCCACTGGTCGGGTCTGCACGAGGACTGATGAGACCCACACTTCTGCACACGGGACTGGGGTCCTGGCTGCACAGCCCTGCAGGGGTGAGGACCGGACTTTCAGCAGGAGAATCTGGCCGCGCTCCTGTGAAAACCTGCTCTGTTCCCTGGGGCACTCCCTCGCTCGTCAGTTAACGAGATTCTCCAGCGAACGGGAAACGGGAGACGAGGATCTCCGATGAGATCAGGCCCTCCTATACTCTCTGTCCCGCACGGGCCCAGACGTCTGATGGCTAAGCCCCTCTGTGACGAGCTCTCCGGCCCCCGCTGCTGATCCTGCCCTTCCCCTCTTCCCTCTCTAATCCCGAGCTTCCAAAAAGGAATCCGCCGGCGAAATTAATTCCACAGATCCCTCTTCTGCACAGCCGCCCTGCTTAGCTGGGGGCTATCCCATCAGCCCCCTGGCAGCCCAGCTCTCGCCCCTATGCAACATGTTAGAAGCAGGAGGCCAGATGTGCACATCTGTCTGTTCGCTGCTCGTGTCTGAAATGGTAATGCAGCTCTCTCAGTACCCGATTATGAAAGAACAGGGAGGCGTCTGACTACACCACTGATATTTCTGTAAACTCTAATTGAAACCGACCATCGTTTATCCTTGATCCTTCTCCCGCAGTGTTCGGAGCTGCAGACTGACTCTGCAGGCCCACGATCACTGCTTCCGTAAGCTTTCTCCCTCGGGATTTTCATATCCCAGGAAAAACCTGCAGGAGGACTGCTCTGTGTGACAAGGCTAGAGCAGGACTTGTTTGTTACCCATTGCAATGCTGAAGAAGACAGAAGACAGAAGTGGGAACGCTTGGCTGCTTTCTCATCTCCCCCCTCTCTCGATTTGTTTGTTTTGAAGACGGCTTTGAGGATGCCACTCACCATCTTGATGGGCCTTTGTCTCAGGTCGGCCTCCGTGATCGGGGTCTCCTGGTCTTTCGGGGGCACCCCCTTGCGGGCGAGGAGCTGCAGGAGGGCGGCGTTGTCCCGGGGCGCCGCCTCGCCCCCCAGGACCAGCCCGCAGACCCGGCAGTAGAGGTCCGAGGACAGCAGCAGGCGGGTGACGGGGGGCTTGATGTGCTCCTGCTCATACTGGTCGCTGTAGAAGGGCTCCCTCAGCTCCTCAGGCACGCTCTCTGTACGGGACAGGACAGCAGGGTCACAGATACCGCACCCCGCTCTCTGTACGGGACAGGA